TGGTTTTAAAAAATGACCCAGAAATGGAACCGTTCTGGCCACCGATTTTTGGGTTGACGACTTGACCGTCAAATTCGAATGGATGGCCCGTTTTAACAAAAAAAAATAATAATAATTACAAATTAAAAAGGCCAAAAACCGTTGAACGGGTCGATTGTTCGACCACCCGAGTCAATGGGCCGTTGACCGATTCAAAGATTTTTTGGCCAAAGACCGGGTTTGGAGTAAAATGGAACTGGTTACTTGAACGGTTCTCGAGCCGAACGGTTCGATCATCCGAAACAATGGTGGTTCGAAAACCATGCCTCTAACTATTATTTGTGTATTGCGTCCACATTGTCTTGGTTTTAACTTTGAAGGCCTAACTACTTGAAATGGGCTTGAAAAATGCTACTCTAGTTAAAATCTTAGCGGTGAAGCATATATTTTTCAACCTGAGAATATTTTTTTGTGATTTTCCTAAAGGCTAAGTTTGGAAATAGTACAAATGCAAATATGTACAGTGCAAATGAACACAAAATAATATAAAATATAAGGTTTTGTACTCTACATATTTGCATTTATACTCCTAAACTAAGCCAAAAGGAAAAATTTTAGTTGTATTTAGCATTGGTTTTTGCGTGAAACGTCTTCACCCCGATTAACTCATATTGATTACACTAGATTCAATCCATGTAGCATTTGCGATCATCTACTACGACTTTGTCAAGAACAAAAACTGACAGTAGTTCATGTTTGCAACGGTTCTTCCTCGCCAGCAAAATAGGGTGGTGGTTGGAGGGGTCGAGGCGAGGGGAGAGAAAATGACAGAGACAGGGGAAGTGGGGAAAGAAAGGGAGGGAGGGAGGGAGGGGGGAGAGAGAGAGAGAGAGAGACCGACTTCATTCAGTGCAAGTCAATGCTTACACTGTTTGAACAACCTCTTGCAACCTTGCATTGAAAATATTTCCCCATGAAATAAAGCACATAAGTGTGGAGATTTTATTTTATTTTTATGATTAAACTGATAACATTATACTAAGCTAAAAGGAAATTACACAAGTCCAGCCGTTTTGGGACATTATCCCAACAACCAAAGAAACTATAAGATTTTGCCACTTGGACAATTACATGAGCAACAAGGGTTTGTGATCTAGGTTCCAACATAATATTAACAAGTGGTGAAGCCTCCAATCAAAATGTTCCAACGATCCTCCTATTGCATCAATAACTTCTTTTGCATTTGTATAGATCATGAGGCTTGACCATCCGTTTTGCTTCACAAAAGTCATACTTTGAATGATTGCTTTGCATCCAACTTCCACTGGACTGTAAACATAATCAAGTTTGTCACCAAGGGCACGTAAAAGTTCAAAATTTTCATCCAATTTACCATTCCAAAAGTTCCTTGTTTATTTGCAATTGAATGGGTAGGCCTTTGATTTGGGCTAGATAAGTGAGATTGGGTTATGAGGAACTTCTGAGCAAAGTCCAAAGTATTGTTTATCTATATTATATATAAAAGTGGGAATGCAATGTGGAACTTTTTTTGGGACTAAAATTACCCTAGACTTATTTGTTTTATAAATGGTATAAAAGTTATTTTATTATAGTTTTAATGGCTATTAAAATGCCCGTAATTATGCCTTTAGTCCAAAGTATTATTTATCTATACCATATATAAAAGTGGGAATACAATGTGAAACTTTTTTTGGACTAAAATTACCCTCTATTTCTTTGTTTGAGAAATTGTATAAATTGCCCATAATTATGTATCTAGTCCATCTCTAATGGCAAGGGTTGAAAATGTAACTTCAATTATTACTTCCCACCTCATTTAATCCATTTTCATTAAGTTTTATGCTTAAATTATTAACTCCCATTTGATCTTATTAAATTAGATATGTGTCAATATTTTTAACAATATAAACCCATATATTTTAAAATTGACTAAAAAACTAAACCATTTTTAACCCAAGTGGTGGCTAGCAATTTAACCATTCGAGTCAAGTTGATCAACCTACAAAATCATAATTAGGTAACGCAGTTTTAAAACATAAGTAGATATAGAAAAATACAAAAAATATCAAAAAAATAAACCCATTTATGATATTTTTATTGATCAAATTAAAAAAAATAAGTGTAATAAGCAATAATTGTTTTTATTGGTAATGAAAATGAAACACATAATTTAAAACATACCAGAAATGGAATTATTTTACTGTTTGACAAAGGTCAGTAGTTAAAATTTGGAGTCAAACATGTTAACCTTTAATGTCATAAATAAATAATGAATGTTAATAAAATATAAAAATACAAAAATAGAAAATACATAAATTTTGCAAAATAACATTTAGGCACATGTATAATATCATATTAAAAAAAGCAAGTGTGACATATTAGAATTATTTTTACACACAAAAATACAAAAATGTTATAGAAAAAACATGAACACATATATAATTCTATATTTACACTGCTATTAAAAATATGAATAAGATTGTGGAACTTTCTTTTGACTAAAATACTCATTTTTGCATTTAGTTCCTATTTCATTGTTAGGTTTAAATTATAAATTGAACTATTTAAATTTTACACTTTTTTGATAGATGAACAAAAAAAGATACACAAAAAAGATTAAATATTACAAAAATAAAAATTTAGCCAAGCAAGTAGGCCTATCAATAATACTTGAAACTTCACAACTCAATCCGATTATCACATATTTGGATGAGGTGTTTATGTAATTAGATGTGGATTATCCAATTAATAATAATAAAACAAAAGTCTGATAGATTTGCTCCATAACTTTTGAGGAATTAATTTGTTCACCCTTAAGTAGGAGATTGTTTCTTGCCATCCAAATGAGGTACCAAGCTACAACTAGCCAAGATATTATTTGTTCCATAAGAGAATTATCAAGGTATTTTCCTTCCAAATAATTTAAGACCTCAACAAAGCTTCCTAAGTTATGGGGAAAATTTATGGACTAGGGACTCAAAGAGAATTGCCTTTGCAAAGGGATAGGTCAAAAAGATGTGACAAGCTTCCTTTGGATTATTTTCACATACTATATACACACAATCGTTAGTTATCCTTGTTATTGCCAAATAAGATTTGCACAAGACAATTTTCATTAGGAGTCTCCAACAGAAAAGTGGGGGTGGCCACGAGTCGGGCTCTTCACGAGTTACTCAAGCTCGGCTCATGAAAAGCTCGTATTAGGTTGGTTTCAATAGAGCTTCGAGTCGAGCTCGAGCTCAATTTACAAGCTCTATTAATAAATGAGCCAAGCTCGAACCTAATAGATCTCGACTTCTCGTGAGGCTCGCGAGCCGAGTTTGAATATATATATATATACACACACACACATACACACACAATAAAATTATAGAAAATAATATATATAATAAAAATATTATAATTCTTAAATTTTTAAATATCAAATGACAAATATTTTTATATATAATTTTTTTTTTATTTTTATAAATTTGTTTTTCTCAAATTGAGCTCGAGTTGAGCCAAACTTGAGCTTACGAGTTTTTGACTCGAGCCGAGCTCAAGCTCAAGGTTCTAGCTCAAACCTAGCTCAAGCTTGAGCTCGAGCCTTGTACTACCTTGGTGAGCTGAGCTCGAGCCTCGTACTATTCGGCTTGGCTCGAATTCACCCCTACCTGCAAGGACATCAAATTGTTGATTTTCCTAGAGAGAATCATAATAGCTCTTTGTTGTGAAGATCCCATTCTTAGATTTTGTCCAGAGAAAGGAGTTAGTTAGATCAATTGTATTGTTGTGTTACAAATCAGGTTATTTTGGCTTTGAAACAAAATTTGAACACAATCTCTTTTCCACTCTCCTTGAGTGTTGGACATTGAGTCGGAAGTGATGTGGCATTTTTTTAGCAAGGAGTGATGTGGCATTTTTTTATTTGTGATTGTAGAAAATTTTCTGCATCGTGGATTCAGAGGATGTGAGCTCGCAAAAAATATTAAGGCGGTGTTTGGAACTAATGTCGTTGCTCTAGAAAACAACGACACATTAGCACCACGTTGGAAAAATAGGTGCTCCAAGAAACGTCAATATATTTGGGACAAATTCTTCATAAAAAATGGTGTTCCAAGCCACGCCTTGAAAATTGATAAGGTATGGTTTAGAATAACATTGAATTCAACGTTTTATCACATTGGAGCTCGTTGACATGATGTGGTAGTGATGGAGACATTCTATAATGAGTACCAATGCTGAAAATAAATATAAAACACTAGTATTAAACAGAAGGTATTGCTATTGCTCCAGGAAACATCATACTTGATAGTAACGTTTCCAAACAAAAAAAACAATATTTTCTCTGCTTCCAACCCACACATATACAACACCGTTTTCTCTGCAACATCGAAGGCTTAGTCGGTTTTCAAAACACGGGAAAAACACATGCTTTTCTATGTTGTGCAAGCCAATGGGCCGGTGTGCATGAACCCCAGCCCATTTGACTTTGCAGTGACTATGGTCAATATTCTTGCAACGCCCAAATAAAACCCCAAGCCCGAGCCCCGAGGTGTCCCGAGTCCTAACAGATTAATCTCAAGCCCATTAACCCACTAATACAGGTTTAGTTCTGTAGTGCATACTCCAAAGCACTTGACTTAAGTAGTTAAGTAACAAAGAAAACAAAAAATCCACGGAAAACAAATATTTTACAAAAGTTAAACAAGATGGACATTTCTGACTTCTGAGTTCTGAACTCTGTCACCCACAATTGATTTTGGGGGGAAACTGTTGGTTTAAAAACTTTAAATCCCGCGAATTTATTTTTCGAGGAAATCATTTGTCTCCTTCTCACTGCAACAAAATGCAGCTTATAATGCTTATTTTTCTTTGTTATTCACAATCAAATCCTATCGTTCGTCAGCTCCGTCGGTCACCATCAGAAGTTGAAGAGTGATGACACGTCATATTCCCCGATATATCTATACACGATTTGTTGTAAAATTATAAATAATAATAATAAATAAATAAATCAATAAACACTTCAACACCTGAAACGCTTATATCCGTTTTGATTGTATGCATACCTGAGCCCATCTGCGTTCCCATTTTTCCCCTCAACAGATCCCCAAAATCTATCTCCTAAACCCGTTTTTTTTTTTCATCGGAACCCTCTACGATCATCGATTATTTCGGGCTCTTTTTTAGTGTTTATTATTGTGATTGACACCTGAGAATAAACTATAAAGGTTCATTTCTCTATTTCTTTTATTTGTTTGCTTTGATTTTTCTCCTCCGCAGTCAATCTACTAATTGTGGGGGAGGAGAGATGGTTTGTATGATTCTATAAAATCAAAGTTTTCTGAACAAACAGCTAGGGTTTCAGGTATGGGATTTGATGGATGAATCATGCCGGAACTGCGTAGCGGAGTGCGCAGGGGCCGGGCAGCGCAGCCAAATCCAATCGGGGGCGAGGGGGTGATTGCCAAAGGTAGAAAAAGGCGAACAGCAAAGAACAAGCAGGCGATCGATAAGAATATTGTAAAGGCTTCTGTTCCGACTGCATCTTTACAGGCTAAGGAAGAGGGGAAGGTTCTTGAAGAAGGCGGGGTCGCCCGAGGTCTAGCCGGTGATCTTGGTGGGTTGGTTGGGGCCAAGGAGGAAGAGGTAGGGGAGAAGCAGATGGACGATTTCGATAGCGGAGCCAGGAGCGCTGATAAGGCTCCCGGTGCTGAAGATGAAGCAAGCACCGCTCCCCTTCCTGAAAAGGTTTGCGTTTTGGTTGTGCCTTTCCCCTATTTCATGCTTTCTGGCTTTGGCTCGCACTTCTTTCTGGCTTTAAGCTTGAAAGATTGTGCCTTTTGGTGATATTGATGTTAAATGCTTGGCGTCCGAAGAAACTAACCAGGCGTTGTCTTGAGAATCATGTTGGACATTTTTGCTCTCGTTTTGGTTGTCTTGATAACCTTAAAAGATATTGTTATGAACCGGTTATCTGAACAGTGAACTTCTGAAGTTGAATTCTATCGCATTGGGCTTGTTACGATATGTGTTCTTTATGGTGGTGTTGTGGTAGAAAACATGGATAATGGAGAGACGCCTAGGGAAGTGCTTTTTTACATGATTTCATGGGTCTACACAACGGGGGATGGCCCGCTGCCCACCTTCTGCATTCAGTCCCTTACTCTTTTGTTCCATGAGCGATTCCGTAGGTGGTGGCAACTGTTGGATGCCTATATCAACTATATCTAGATGTTGTCTTGGGATGGTTTCATTCTCTATCTTCCCATATGCCATATTAAAACTATGTTGAACTATGGGAGTTAATGGTTTGGAAATTTTTGTCCATGATCCCACGACCTTCACGTTATACTGATAGTTTCTAATCTGATTTTTCCCTTTCTGGGTTCTCTTTTCTAAAGAGTGTTTTTATGATAATTAATTAATGCAACCATGTAAATGCAAAATGTCAATAGCATGTTAATGCCACATTGCACTTGACTCACCCTACCTTTATTCTATCACCTTGTTTGTTCTGCTACAGGTCCAAGTAGGTGGTTCCCCAGTGTACAGAATAGAAAGAAAGTTGGGCAAGGGAGGCTTTGGACAAGTGTATGTTGGTCGTCGTGTTTCTGGTACCAATGTAAATGATAGAACTACTGGACAAGGAGCTGCTGAGGTAGGCTATTTTCATTTTATTGGTTTCATTTTTTTATACATACCATCTACACTTTTGTGTATAATCTTGTTAACTTATTCCATAATCTTTTTGAGTTAGGTGGCGTTGAAGTTTGAGCACAGAAGTAGCAAGGGATGTAATTATGGACCACCTTACGAGTGGCAAGTCTACAAGTATGCATCATTTGTTTAAATGACTTGCATTCTGTTCTCTCTTTATTTTATTTTATTTTTTATTTTAGCAGCATGAACATATTTCTCACTAACATCCTGAATTATTTTCTCAGTACCCTTGGTGGTAGTCATGGTGTGCCACGAGTACATTACAAAGGCCGGCAAGGTGATTATTATGTCATGGTATGTTCTTGTTGCCCCTTGCCTACTTCTCCTAGTTTTACAACAGCCTACTGTTATAGTGGCCTTTGTTTTGGATGGTTTTGTGATATCGGTCCATAATTCCTACAGGTTATGGATATGCTGGGACCAAGTTTATGGGATGTTTGGAATAACAATTCTCACACGTAAGTTATCTTGGATCGATGTCCGACTTGTTTATTCTGTTTTTTTTTCTTAAATTTATTTGTTCTTTACTGAATTTATCATTATGTGTTTTGTATAAATTTTGATTATTCTGATAAGTGCAGAATGTCCATTGAAATGGTTGCATGTATTGCAATTGAAGCAATATCAATATTGGAGAAGATGCATTCTAGAGGGTGAGATATTCTCTGCCCAAATTATTGGTTATATTGGTTGTTTTCTCATAATTGACATCTTGCAAGGAACCTTTATGGTTTCCATGTACCATGCAATATTTGATCCTCACTTTTTTGACTACTAAGTCTGATACCACAAATTTTGACAGCTATGTTCATGGGGACGTAAAACCTGAGAACTTTTTGCTTGGTCTACCTGGAACTCCTGAGGAGAAAAAGCTGTTCCTTGTTGATCTTGGATTAGGTAAGTGATATATACACTACATATTAATATATTGCATTCATGTTTCCCTGAAATAGTAATCAATTATCTTATTCATTTATGACCTAATTTTTGGGTATTAGCCACTAGATGGCGGGACAGTTCAACCAGTCAGCATGTTGAGTATGATCAACGACCAGATGTTTTTAGGTATAACTTTGAACCATCCATTTTTTTGGTTTTCTTATTTTGATTAAATAGGGGTTATGGGCTTACTATCATTCTGGTCTTGCAGGGGAACAGTGCGGTATGCTAGTGTGCATGCTCATCTAGGAAGAACTGCAAGCAGGAGAGATGACTTAGAATCACTTGCTTATACTCTTATTTTCTTGCTTCGTGGTCGTTTACCTTGGCAAGGATACCAGGTAGTCTTCTGAACTCTACCAAAAGTTTGAAATGTCTTATACATGCTCTCATGGTTTTCTCATTCTTCACAGGGGGAGAATAAAGGGTTTCTTGTATGCAAGAAAAAGATGGCAACGTCTCCAGAGACACTTTGTTGTTTTTGTCCACAGCCTTTCAGACAATTTGTTGAGCATGTAGTGAATTTGAAATTTGATGAGGAACCAAACTATGCAAAATATATTTCCCTCTTCGATGGGATTGTTGGTCCAAATCCAGATATCAGGCCAATTAACACAGATGGTGCACAGAAGGTACTTTTATGTTCTTTCTTTTTCTCTGCCTGGGATTGTTTTCTGTTTTAATTTTCAATCAATCTGATGTGCTGTTACATTTTGTAAAGCTTATCTATCAGGTTGGTCATAAGAGAGGGCGATTAACAATGGAGGAAGAGGATGATGAGCAACCAAAGAAGAAGGTTCGCATGGGGATGCCTGCAACACAATGGATTAGTGTCTATAATGCTAGGCGGCCTATGAAACAACGGTATGCGTGTTTCAGCTTGCACATTAGTACTCTATTCAGAATACATGAAAGGGGATGAAAAGTTGGAAATTTTTTATCTTGTTATAGGTATCACTATAATGTGGCAGATGCAAGGCTTGCACAACACATTGATAAAGGAAATCAAGATGGTCTATTTATCAGCAGTGTTGCATCTTGTTCAAATCTATGGGCCTTGATTATGGATGCAGGCACTGGATTTGTTTCTCAAGTTTATGAACTCTCATCCTTTTTTCTTCACAAGGTGAGGAACTGCTTCTATCATTGTTGCCATTATCACTATCATTAATGCCATAATTTTTATTTGGTTGCCAATAGAAATATTGTGATCATTATTGTCATTGTCTTGGATTAGACAATAATGGAAGATGCAAGGAAGTTTGACATGTTGTTCTTTGCTGTTATTATCATGATTATCATTACTGACTTTTTCTTGAGATGGTAATACTAGCTGCATGTATTTATTAATTATTAATTTATTATTTAACATCTTGTTTACCTGTAAAGAGCTTCCATGTCATGTCCCTACTTTGTTTTGCTTATAAAAATTGTTTGTGCCACAATTTTGTATTTACACTTGTCACTACATAAATTGGTATATTTCTGGATCAACTGATTTCATTATAGATTTATATGCTAATCAACAAACTAATTGTCCCCTTTAATTTTTGTTCTGTTTGAAGGAATGGATTATGGAGCAGTGGGAGAAGAATTATTACATTAGTGCAATAGCAGGAGCTAACAATGGAAGCTCTTTGGTAGTAATGTCTAAAGGTTAGTCTCTGTAGTTATTGTTAAGTTGGATTTTGGTAACTCCTATTTGGGATTTCTATTAGCTTTTATTTATTCATTGAGCACAGGTACACAGTATGCACAGCAGTCCTACAAAGTTAGTGATTCATTCCCTTTCAAATGGATAAACAAAAAATGGAGAGAAGGTTTCTATGTCACCTCCATGGCTACTGCAGGTAGTAGATGGGCAGTCGTAATGTCTCGTAGTGCAGGATTTTCAGACCAGGTATTGCTGAATTATCTGAACATATATCTTTAAAGTTCACTTTTCGTGGCATTGAGATACTGATTGTTTGATGTGGATTTTATTTATTTTCAGGTTGTTGAGCTAGATTTTCTGTATCCTAGTGAAGGAATCCATCGGAGGTGGGATAGTGGTTATCGTATCACAGCAACTGCAGCAACTTGGGACCAGGCTGCCTTTGTTCTTAGTGTGCCCAGAAGAAAGCCTGCTGATGAAACACAAGAGACACTCCGGACTTCTGCTTTTCCTAGTACACATGTCAAGGTGGATTCATAGTATACCTTGGTTTTTGGTTCTATTTGGTAGGGCTTTGTTGTGGAAAACTGGAATTAATATATGATTTTGCTTGCAGGAGAAATGGGCTAAAAATCTGTACATTGCATCTGTGTGCTATGGTCGAACAGTTTCATGAGCTTCTCAATCTCGTTTTTCTTAGTTTAGATGCTTGCTGACAATTTTGAAGATACTACTCATCTTGCTCGCCTGCTCTTATCATGTTGTCACTGTGCTGCGGAAGTGTGAAATTTGTCATTTCCTGAAGGCAAACTTCTCATTGTGACATCACGTCATCACCAGGCTAGAAATTTTGATGTGAGCCTTTGCTAAATGTTTGTCATTGCATATCAGCTACTACTAACACTTGTGCAGTGTTTTTATCAAGTGTGTAAAAATACTGTTGCGCTAAATGTTCATTATCTATCAAGTCCAAGGGGATGCTGGGTTTTCTTACTAATTGTTAAGGTTGTATAGTCGTGAGTCTTGAATAATGATTACATGATTGAAGGAATCCACAGAGGTCATGTATTGATTACTCTGAGTAGTTGGTTACATTTCAAAAAATGTGAATCCTATGGTGTGGTGTTGGACCAGATTATTTCATTCATCAGTTCTTATGAGTTGTGGTTTTCTTTCCTTTTTATTCCCAGTTTGATACATGGATATTTGACTTTTGATTTTTTGACGGGTCTGATGAGGTCAGAAAAGGCGACTTATTTTATTAACACATTCTGTAGCCAATTTTACACGGAGTCATGGTTACACCATGTACTTGTTACATTAATATTCTCATATTACCTTACCTTCACTAACATAGTCACACGAGGTGAAGGCATACTGGCATACCTTTACTCGCTTGTGTATGTCCATAGAAGAGCAGTTGGTGCAGATACTAGAAAACATCAGTTCAGGGTTTCAAATATGTTTACACTAGTTAACTTAAACCTGCATTGGTGCAGATACTAGAAGCACTGCATATTTATATATTGAACTAGCGTGTCTGTCTTTTTCAGAATATTATATATTTCCCTCCATATAGAGCTGCATGGTTTATTTTATTTTGAGAGTAACTAGCACAAGCATCAGTAATAAAAAATTATCAAAGTATGATGAATTTACAGGGTTGTATGTAGGTATCCAAATCCAAAAAACAAACTGTTGGTCATGTAACAATTTATGCATAAATGGAGTTATGGTAATTCCCCGAAGTCCTTCTAGACCATTAGCCAAGAACATGTAGTTCCAGTCGTCTTTCTCAACACTATGCCCTGTTGGGTGGTTTAACATTCAAATGTTGGAGCATTTATTCCTTCCATTGTGTCCCGAAAATTGGAGAAGGCAAGATAAAATTTTTACCTCTGTTCTATCCCTTTATCTTTCAGTATAACAAAAAAAAAGTCACGAATTGATTTAGGAAAATGCCAAGAGCACCCCAAAAGTTTTTAGAAGTGTATCAATAGGACTATGCTGAATCCACAATGAATGCAAAGATGTTTGGCAGATCTGTCTGCTGCATTCTGTAATCTGCGTAATGGCATTCTCCGGCTAATAAGTTGGTACCCATGGAGGGTTTCCTTGCTTAAGTGCCTAGCTTTTTTTGTTTTCTGCACAAGGCACTAAATTACTCATTTTTGGGTTTATATACTAGTTTTTTTTTATTCTTTTCTTATTTGTCAAGGTTCAATCAACACCGGTGTTGCCTGGACATGCAGACCCCACACAGGAGTCAGAATCCGATGCTTGTCTATGATTCTGACTTAGACAGATGAGAAAACATGAACTCGTTGACATGTCCGTGTAAAAGTATATAACATTGAAATATTTCATTATTTTTGAATTTTAACATTATATTACCATTCTACAAGTCTTCTAAAATGTTCTCTTTGTTACCCAGTAATGTTTGATATGAAAAATGATATTCATCTTGTAAATTAACTGCTAATTTATGTCAAATAAAGTATGAAATAAAAAGGAAATATTACATAAAAATGGACATGTCATCCATTTAGGGGAGTCCATGCAACACTGATCTATGCACATGTTGGGCTAAGCTATCTCAAGCCCTTGAAGACTTCTTTTTCTTATCTTGAATATGTTGATTCTCTATATTTATTGATTTTATTTAAAAGAACCCATCATCTAATTTACATTCATCTTGCAAATTAACATTATATGAAGTTTATTGATCATTACTAATGAAAGATGACTGTTGGAACCTTGGGAATTACACTTGGATTTATTGATTTTATTTAAAAGAACCCATCATCTAAGTGACAACTGACAAGGCGCCCTCCCCCTGCCTAGCCTTGCTAGTGTCTTGAAAACTACATTGTATGAGATACTTCCTTTCTGCATGACTCATTTTAGAACCTGCCAGGCTATTTTACTGTTGGTCTTGTTTTGTTATTTTAAACAAAATCTTCTGTTTTGTTAATATGCACAATTAGCATGCAACATTGTTCAGGTTTAGTTCTATTAAACTTGCCTTACTGGCCCCCAAACCAGAAATTTCTGTGGTGATTGCTTATATATTTTTATGCAGTGGGTCACAAGTCAGAAGGTCTGTCTAATTCATGCCCCATACATGTATGTGCATAATATCCTTATGTTCATTGAGGAGTGGAAAAGAGTGTGAGGAGGTTTGGTTTGTGTCATTTTTGTAAGTTTCAGAAGACTGAGACTTAAATGACAATCAGTTGAAGAATCATTTGGTGGAATGTTAACTGGCATATGCCTAATCTATAGAGTGATTATGGGTGGAACAATAATGTCCCACAAGCATTTGGTGTGAAATGCTGCATTTGCATGCATGTATTTGTCTAGTTGGCATATATTGTATGCCATCCTATCACCGATAAAGCTTTTTATTTGATTTCTAATTTCTGAGTATTTGGTACATCATTGGAAGTTACTGATATAAAAGAAAAATGGAATATTATATTTTGGGTGCTTTTACCTGTCATTCTATTGAAATATGTTGCCATATCAGCATTTTTGCATAAACTGGAAAAAATCTTGTTTGTTAATACCTGCTTATGCAGAAATTCCAATGCCAAAACATACTCTAGAGCTTTGTTGAGACTTGAGAGAATGGTTGATGCCTCTGTAATTCAATGGACATTGTTTCAACAATCTTGTGATTGTAATACATTTTTTAATAAAAAAGTATACCGCTTCAAATGCGTAGGTAGCATGCATTTATATTAAACACATTTAACAAGAAAATGTTGTAGAATCGAGCATGTGCTATTTTCATGTTTATGTCTCAATGCAGTGGCAGACTGGTGGATAAAGGCCACCATGCCAAACACTATCATAGTTTAAGATTTTCATTACTCGTTTGTTTTGTCTTAAACAACAAATCTTGAGAATACACAGTCAAAAGCAGAAGAAATATCCTGTTTGGGAGTGGTTGTTGTCAAATTTATTAACTGATTACTGACTATGCTGTTGTCTGTTGGTATGGTAAACTTGAAGAGTGTCAGGTGAAATCATCACAAGGTCTTCTTTGCCATTTGAAGTTTGTGAGTATTCACTCTTTCTTTCCTTTTTTTAATATTGATTGATAGTGTCCAACTCTGTAGTGATGTGTTCTTCTGAATTGCTGTAGTAGTTTGTGGTTCAGCTAGATCCAGTCTAACATTCTAGTTTTTTTTTCCCCAGGTATGCCTATTTCATTTGACATCAGAAAAAAAGTCAGTCTTATGCCATTTTTGTGCTTTAAACTTGTCAAGACCAGTCTGCTAGTATATTGTAACAATTGTAGGCACTTATCCTATGTCTTTAGGTGCTTCTATATATGCTAATGTTAACTTCATACTGGTATACAGCTACAACACATATTTCGAACATTTCTGGCAACAGTAGAATAAAATCCTTGGATGTTGGTCCATTTAGTTCCAACTTCCAAAGAATCTTTTTAATAATTTCCCCCTTTTCTGGGTTTGCAGTTAAGTTACCTATTCTTGATAAAGGATTACATCTGTCAAAATTACTGGATTCTAATACAAATAACTTAAACTATCTTATTATGAATAAAGACTTCTGGATTCTGTCAATGCCATCACTTAAAAGCTTGTTATCAGGTGGGGATCCTTATTTGAAGTATCAGGCACAAATTTGATCCCATTATTTTGGTATTTCATGGGGAAAAACATTAGGTGAGATTCATGTTAGAGCGTATGGAACTAGCGGTGGAGGGATTTTCCAGAAATATGATGAAGCAATTGAATGGATGTTGATGCTAGAGGAAGAACACAATGCACTTTTTCACTGTAGATTAAGGGTTAACTTGGGAATTTCGTCATGGTACAAGAGGACAAGTGGGAGATTACAGTAGGAAGTTTAAAAAAGATGGAGTAAAGAATTTGGTTCAAATACTTGTGAAGATGGTTCAGAAATTGAAGGGATATTGGAGGTGGAAAGGTAGGTGAGTAGAATTTCCAGCTTCTGAAGAACGTCAGTTTTAATGAAAGGTGTATGCATTTTGATAGGTGTATTGGATGGGACTATCCATATTGCTATGACAATTTGAGTAAGGTGAGGAACCAGGCATCCAAATGGAATTATGATGGTCTGGGCTGAATTTTGGGTTGGAAACCCAAACACTTTTAGTGTAGTTGGGCCAGATTCAGTTCATTTGTACAAGTGGAGACCTTTGATAGACCATGAGTATGAGATCAGGGGTTATAAAGATCATTAAAAGGGCAATGAAGGAATCACATTGAGACTGATGAGTGGTTCTGGATTAACACGAGATAACCGCAGACAGGTTGTCTTCTCCTTCTTTTCTGCACCAGCTGGTTTGGGGAGGCAACTCATCTCAGCAGTGGGGCTTCTAAATCAGCATTAACAGCAGATGGTTCCCAGTCAGTTAACAAGAAGCTATAGCAGCAGGCAAGCAAGACAGTAGAGGGCGAGGGAATTATTGTTAAGACTTGGATGATGTATGGTGTAGTGTTTGTTTGCAATTGAGCCAAGCTAAGCTGAACTTGGACATGTCTTGGCTCATCTTGACTAAAATACTACTAGGTCTGAGCTCGAGTTCTAGTTTGATTCGATTAAATATTCGATGAGCTCAAGTTTGGCCCAAAATTTCAGGGTATGCGCCTTGCCTAGGTCCTAGGCGCAGCCCTTTCAAAAGGCACACCTTGTGCCTCAGCCAGGCGTTCGCCTTTTGAAAATTTGACGCCTTTTTTTGCTTTTTTTGAATGTAGCGATTGGGGCCGGGGGCTCCACCCCCGGACCCCTGTGCCACGCCCCTCGAGGCAAGCCCAAACAAGTCCACGTTAGGTCTTAAATTCTTAGTTTGCTCGCTCATTGAAGCTCTGAGAACCCCAAATTTGGTAATGTTCATTCATTCATCCTAATAAAATGTCTTCTTAAAAAGTAATTAAAAGTATAAATCATAATTTTTTGTGTGAAAACTAAGAATTTAAGACCTAACATGAACTTGTTTGGGCTTGCCTCGAGGGGCGTGGCACAAAGGCGACCCGTAGAATCAGGAATGTAATATGTTTTACATTACATTATCTACTTGAAGTAATGCAATTGAGTGAAGAAAGATATTAGAGGTTTTACATGGTTGAAAATGTTTTATATGTTTGATTTTATTTTTAAGTTCTCATTTGAATATGCTTTACATCTTATGTTTATGTATTTTAATTTTAGATAATAGGTTTTGTAAAACATTTATTTTAAAATTTAAGTTTATATTTTTTATTAATATTATGTTTAATATTTTATTTTATTTTTTTGGCTTTTTTTGAATTTTCTGACATTTTTTTTGGTATTATTGCACCTTGCTTCAAAAAGGCGCTGGCTCGCCTTGCACCTCAGGCGCAAATTGATTTTGTGCCTTGTGCTTTTAAAACATTGATATAATATAATATAATATAATGTAATGTAATATAAATATATTTTACATAAACATATATATATATATTTATATATATTAGGGGTGTTCACGGGTCGAGTTGGGTTGGCTTATTGGGGTTTTCCCAACCGACTCGACCTGGTCGGGTTACCTGAGGTGGAAACCGAAACCGACCCACTGATAGGCCAAACCGACCTGGTCGGTTTGGGTTGGTTTCGGTTTTGCTCCTGTACAAAAGGACACCTAATTGAATTCTAATTGTAATTGCCTAATGGGTTGCCTATTTGGTGTAAAAGATTATAGAAAGTTAGAAACTAGGATAGATTGCCTATTCTAATTGTAATTGCCAATGGGCCTTCTAGTTCTAGTAGAAGACTAGTTATAGTTAAGTAGGAAACTACTCAAACTAGGAACTACCGAACTAGTAGGGTCGGGTTGGTTCCGACTCGATATATCAGTTTATATATTTGCCCAACCCGAAACCGACCGGTATTGATGAAAACCCGACCGACTCGGGTTGGGTTGGGTCGGTTCGGTTTGGTTGGGTTGGGCATTCTTATGAACAGCCCTAATATCTATATATATATATATATATAAATTGAGCCATGCTTGTGAGCTTTTGAGCCAAACTTTTTTATTGGTCGAGTGGTTGCAGCTATTTGGAATTGGATATTTGTCTTGTTTGGGTACAGATTGGAACCTGCCAACAGAAGTATGTTTACTTTTTTATCCAGCTTTTTTGTTTACAAAAGGGGGGAGAGTTATGTGGAAGAGTACTAGAGCAGCCATCTTATGGACAATTTGGGAAGAAAGGAATAACAGAATTTTCTGTGAGAAAGAAGTTTTTCAGAACTGAAGGAGTGCATTTTGACAAGGGCAACACATTGTTTGAAAAGCATCAACTCCTTTCATTCTTGTACCCTTGATGATCCATGGGGAAAATTGGTTGGTAGTGGCTAATAGTTCTACTGGAAACGCTAGAAGTACTGCAGCGTGGTCTTCACCTCTGGAAGGGTTTATAAAATTGAACTTTGACGAAGCACGGAAGCAGTCAAGGAAACCCAGGGTTTTGAGGTGTGGTTGGGGTGTTGAGAAATGAGAGGCTGTATTTTATCTCTTTTCTCAGGTACAGTGGGAATAGGATATTCTACCAGAGCTGAACTTCTACGTTCTACCTGCTGTACAAGGAATTCAGATTTCTAGTCAACTTGGGGTGAACAGTTTAATTGTTGAGGGAGATTCTAAGGTGGTGGTAGGGTGGCTATGGGATCCGGATTCTGCTACTTGGAAATACAGGGATATACTAAGGCTATGTTTGGTTTGAAGGAAAAGGTAGGGAAAGGAAGGGAAAAATATCAAAATCTATACAAGGTTTGTAAAGGTTTCCTTGTCTTTCCTTTCCTTTCCTTTCCCTACTTTTTCCTTCAAACCAAACATAGCCTAAGGAAATTTAAGTGGCTAACAAGAAACATGACAACCAGAATACAATGGGTGAGCAGGTCAGCCAATGCTATGGCCGATGTCTTAGCCAAACAAGGGGCTTCTAGGGAATTTCTTTTTGTAGCTAAGTTGTAATTCCTTTTCTTTGATTTTCTTGGGCTCAAGGATGTGGCAGCATCTCGTCCCCCTAGTGAAGCTTGTAACAGTTTTAATCTTTTGCTGATAATAAATTATTTCATTTATAAAAAAAACCTTTTACTGGTCGAGCTTGAGTTTGAATAACTAATTGAGCTTACCTTGAGAATCGAGTTTGATTTGAACTCAAACCATTCAATTAGAACTCAATTCAATTGCATCCCTATTGTAGCTGCAGGAAAGCAAAGGAATAGGCTGTTATAAATATCAAAGAAAAGGTTATGGTGGAACTGGTTTCAGAAAGGGATGTTTAGTTAGAAGTGATTTATGGTGAATATTTGTTGCAAAGTCTTCTATGAGAAGACTCTCTCTTCCAGCGCCAATGGTGTTACCAGAAGGTAAGGCAGAGGTGGTAAGTGAAGGTGTGCTTGAAAAAAGTGGTGTCAGTGAGTGCATTTGTTTCCCTCTCTGTATGCCCTCTCTGAGTTTAAAAATAAGCCAATTTCTTTTTTCATCACCCCTTCATCCTCCAGTTCTGGGTGTGGGTGGAACCTGGGATTGAGGAGGGTTGTGAGGGACTCTGACTTCCACAGCGTCTTGAGCCTTCTTGACCTCCTTGATAATGTCGTCATTGACCCCTCAAAGGTGGACTCTAGAACTTGGACCCTGACTCCCATGGGCTCTTTTTCTTTTGCTTCCTTTTTTAGAGTCTTATGTCAGTCCACCAATCCCGCAACCTATCCTTTCCCGGTTAATGAGATTTGATGTAGACCAATCCCTCCTAGGGTTGGTAGCTTTTGTTGGGAAGCCTTTCTGGAAAGATTCAATACTGGTGACTTGCTTCAAAAGAAGAGACCCAACACATGCTTATCACCTCATTGGTGTGTTCTATGCAAAGCGGATGGGGAGATTGGTTTTCACTTACTAGTGTCGTGCCAATTTGCAAAGTCAATTTGGGAATGGGCTTTTTCTCTCTTTGGGCTCAGGTGGAACCCTCCATTAGATTTGCAGGGCCTATTTTCTCCTCCTTTGTTCAGGTGGCGTGTGAAAAGGGGAAGGACAATGTGGAGAGGATTGAGGGCTGCGGTATGTTGGTCCTTATGGGAAGAAAGAAATCTTAGAATCTTTTCGGATAAGGAGAGAGGGGCTGAAGAATTGAGGGCGGTGATTCATATCAGGACTGTACAGTGGCTGAAATCTTTAGAGTTATTCACAGACTACACGGTGGATGACATGTTAAGGAAGTGGGGTGAGATTGCAAGCTGTATGAAGTCCAAATCAGTGGTGAAGGTGTCTTGGACACCCCCACCTGCTGGATTCCTAAAACTGAACTTTGATGGGAGTTGTAGGGGGAATCTTGGACAGTCAGGGATTGGGGGTGTTTTTAGGGATGAGAATGGGGTCATTTCAGCCATGTTCTTAGGTCCAATTGGAGCAGGGGACTCTCTTAGAGCTGAGATCTTGGCAGTTATTGAAGGTGTTCAGAAAGCTAAGGAAATGGACATCAGAAAACTCATAATTGAAGGGGACTCGGAGGTGGTCATAGGGTGGCTGAGGAAAGACACGTGGATTATGGAAGTACATCAATGAGAAAAGAAAGTTCAAGTGGCTGGTGCGGGAAATGGAAATCAGGCTGAGTTGGGTTAAAAGGTCAGCTAACTCTATAGCTGATGGGCTAGCTAAACAGGGGATAGAAAGGGATGTAATGTTTTGGGCTTAGTTGTAACTAATTTGCTTCTTTTTTTTTTTTTCTTCTTTGAGGACTTAAGTTGTCTTTGGAAGATAAGAGAGTTTGTCTTCCTTGATGTAACTATTCCTATCATATTTTAATAAAATTACTGAAGTTATTGATAAAAAAGAAAAAGTGAGTGCATCTGGTGGTGCTGATGATGCATTTAGGGAGTCCAGGTTGGGTGAATGTGTTGTTCTTCTTCCTGTTTTGATGGTTCGAGGTGAAGCCATGGAACATCATTGTTAATCAGTGCCTCAGTGGTGATATATTGGAACTGAATCCTAAAGTGGTTTTGGTTAGAGGTGTAAGGGTTAGTGCCTTTGAAAGGGAAAGAGGTGTTAAAAACCATCTTCTGGTCCATATTATGAAAACCATCTTCTCTATGCTACAAAACATGCTCAGATCTGAAATCTGTCAAACCATTTGAGCATGCTACAAAACATGTTCAAATCTGAAATCTGAAAGCTGTCAAACAATTTGACAGTGCTAAAAAACATGCTCAAATCTGAAATCTGAAATCTGTCAAACCATTTGTCAATCCTACAAAACATGCTCAAATCTGAAATTTGAAATCCGTCAAATAATTTGACAGTGCTACAAAACATGCTCAAACCTGAAATCTGACAAATCAAATGGCTATCTGCAACTCATATGGGGTTAGGTTGGTTAGTTACATCAATCAGTTTCACCATCCTACTTTTTCTTTCATGTTCATGTCTGATCATGTATGAAGTTTTATCTTTTGCTACCTACAAATCTGAGTTTAGCTCTGCTGGTTTAGATCAGTCACCTCCTGAGCTAATTCAACTTTGGGTCTCTGGAGCCGAGTCAAGCCTATGTTTATAATTGAACTCATTCAGCTAAAAGAAGCCTGAGCCAAACTTAGATGTGGTTGGTTCAGCCAAGTGTTACTAATTACAAAGAACCAAAGTCTACACTGTTATAACCAGGCTAATCAAAGGACTTCTCATCTCTTTTATAGCCTTACAATTTCCTGCATTGTCATAATGTTGATAGAGTTTGTTTCATTTCTTGTATATGATCAATAGAACTTATTGGAAACAAAGAAAGTTTGAGAAAGCACTTTCACAGGTCTCTTGTATATTATTAAAAGGACTACTCATCTCTTGTGCAGAGACCTTGCTAATGTTCTCTTTATTTTTTCAGTTTTATCCTTTTACAAAACCTCTAAATTCAAGGCATTCAACTGCTCTAAATAAACTTGGTAATAAATAACTAGGGATGCTTCAATTTACATCAAATTGAAAACTAATGAGAATGCAAGAAGTCTTTTTTCTTTGGTGAATAAGAATTTTATTAGAAGACTGAAATATACAAAGCTGGCATCCCAGAATTTGAGATTACTAGATCAAACGGAAAAATACAACAAAATACATTTATTGCACACCCACCATGCTGTCCCTTGTCAGCAGCTTAATCTCCCTCATTGTATTTCTGAATGGAGTCTTGACTCTACAATCAGTTCATCACTACTTTTAGAGTTTCCCTTAAAATACCAGATTTTGATGATTGCATGTTTTACCCACCCTCAGACTAGCACAACTGCTGCAATCATCAAACCCATACAATCATCAAAATTCATCTTTATTAAGTTCCCTCGAGTCTGAAATTGATAGAATTTCTGAAATTTAAAACTTTGACCAGTTGAGAAAACCAATAACTTTTAAATTTAAGCAACAAACAGATATAAGTTTGTCTTTACGAAATGTACAACATATATATGTTTATTAATTTTCATATTAATGTGGTTAGTAATGACATTATTGGTGGTTGTTTAAAGCACATCACCCCTAAAATTGTAGAATGCACAATAGTGTATCTCCTTAACATTTGGAATTATCCTTTTTTTTTTTGATGAATGATTTGGAATTATCCTTATTCTCTACCTATAAAAAAGATAAAGCACTAAATCACTAAACCAATGATAATAATGTAGACCTCTGATACTTATCTCATTTTTTCTTTGGTATCCAGTCTTTCATTTGATTCATACATTAGGGATTTTTTTCATTTTTGTTATATATTTCTTGTCTGGATAGATAGACACAGAACTTCTAATTGTAGTGGTTGGGGCTGCGACCCATGCAACTGCATTGACCCCAGCCATCTTGCAAGAATGGATGGACTATGTGGATAGGGAACCTTCTATCAATAGAGACTTGGAGAGGTAGGATTTGTTGGATTGACTATATAAGGGGAGACCAATTGATTGTTACAACCATTTGAGGATGGGGAAGGAGGCATTCTATAGGCTTTGCAAAATTTTATGTGAAACCGGTTGACTGAATGACACACTTTGGAGTATTGTTGAAGAACAAGTTGCTAGATTCTTACACATTTTAGCACACAATGTTAGGGATAAAATGATGAGATTCCATTTCAGTAGATCTAGAGAGATGATAAATCGTCATTTTAACTTGGTATTAGATGCAGTTCTAAGCTTAAAGGATAGATATTTAATCCAACCAAACGGGGCAGAACCACTGTCAGATATTAAAAATCAATCTGACATTTGACGATACTTCAAGGTAATGGACATGTCAAAATTTTATATGCATATAAAGTTTATACAACATTTTAGGCATTAAAAATTAAAATACACTATCTAAATGAATTGCATGACATGATTTTGTTGGGGAAATTGATGGTACACATACTTGTGAAGGTTTCTGTTCCAGATGTAGCTAGATTTTGTGGTTGTAAGACGTATCCGACACTATTCTTGCTGCATGTTCATTCAACTTGCATTGTGTTCCAATAGAATTTTTAACACCGTATCACAACACAATATACCATTTTAAGGAATGGGGTGCACACCAACTTGAGAACCCAAGAGAATTGTTCAACTTTTGTCACACATCACTTAGGAATGCAGTTGAACGTATATTTGGTGTCCTTAAGAAACACTTTCCAATCTTGGTCTGTGATATTTGGGGTGGACTGCACTTATAACAACATTAGAAACCGTTTGAAAACAATTAAGAAAAATTTCAACACCATTTCAAACATCCTTAACTCGTTTGGTTTCTCTTGGAATGACCTTACAAAGCTATAGATGCATAGCCTAAAGTATGGATAGAATATATCCAGGTAAGGTTCAACTAGTGTATATTTTTTAAGTGTAGCATAGTTTGACATATTTGATTATGTTATGATATTTATGGAATGATTCATTAAAAAGTGAATAGGCACACCTTGAGGCAAAGCAATTTTGAAGGAAAGTAATCAATAATTATCGTTTGGATTTGTATTGGCTTATGCTCGAAATAGTCTAATATAGTTTGATACATATAATTAATTTCGTTAATCCATATTTAATACCGAATCTCTCATTTATGTCGTTTATTTAAGTCTAATTTCTCTTTTATTAATTAGTCATTTATGCCAAGACAAATTTAAATTTAAATTTGAATTTTAGTGCCTTATTCAAATTCTCTCATTAATTCCTTTAATTAATGATTCCCTCTCATTAAATTCGTTTTGTTAGTGTAAAAACTTCAAATTTTAGCAATATCAAGATTTAAACTTTAGTCACTTGAGTTTAACAAAAGACAAGTTTGCCAATGAGCCACACATATTTGTTTGCTATGGCTATATGTATTTTTTATTTTAAATAAATTCATTTTTCTTAATGAATGACAAGTGTTTATTAATAAATGCTAGAATTAATTATTAAAATTTATATACTAATAAATATTAAGATTAATTATTTTGGTTGTCAAAAATTGACATTCACATTTTTGTTTATTTTACATTTTAGTTATTCTATCATTTTTAAATGGTTACTAATTGTGTCCCAATATGTCATATTAGATTTGAACCATTAAATTATATTTTTTTACATTTAAATGACTTATTTATAATTATATAAAACATGTAAATATGGTTAGTAATATATTTTTTAGGATTCATTTGAATTTTCTACCATATTTATGTGTATCTTAATTTTTCGTCCGTATTCATACATGTCCAAAGCGTATTCTGACAATTCTCTTAAAATTGTTTTTTCGATACAGGGCCAGAGCTTTTATTGATAGAGGCACTTAGATGGGAGGCAACAACATCAATGACTCCCAATAACATAAACAATGCATGTGTACGAGGAGTTGGATGACGGAGAAAATGCTGGTGACTCTACCCTACAAGTTAGGCCATTAGAAGAGGGTTGCTCTGCCTAAGGAAGGAGCTCATTGGAGAAAAGGAAGTCATATGCTAGCATCGTTTCTAGTGAATATGTATACAAAATATTTTAGGGTGTATACAACCTCGGGGATGACAATCCGGAATTCCTCTTCAAGGCCATAGATTTTTTGTCTCAGTCAGAGAATAGGGCAATAGCGTTTTATGCCCTCAAGCTTAAATTGAAGAAAGCATAGCTGAATATGAAACTTGCATCTGAATACTACATTGGACTTAACTTTCTAGTTAGACTTTGATAGACGCATGAACTGATTAGATATCCATTGCATCATTTTGTTCTCGTCCTCTTGGGATGCATTGGATGTTTGTTTTGATATAGTATATAAACAAATACACAGTGATGGTGATACAAACATATACATGGACACATAATATTGTGATTGGTTTGAGATTTATCACTGTTTGGAGTTTTTTGCAACTTAATAGATGATCTTTCTCATCTATTCGTGTTTGTTATTCACTTTTTGCCATGGTGGTGTTTGGTTGTGAATTTATGATATTATTTTTAGGTTTATTAGCATTGTTTTGATGAAACCAAATATTTTATAGCTTGAATATGATATTTTTACAGGTTTAGTTACAGGTTAGAGATGCATTGGACTGCACTCCATGATTGTTATTCACATCTTGCCATGGTGGTGTTTAATTGTGAATTTATGATATTGCTCAGGTTTATTAGCATTAGTTTGGTGAAACCAAATGACTTATAGTTTAAATATGATATATTTACAAGTTAGAGATGCATTGGATTTAATCGACTTCTTATTCATCACTTGCCTTAGTGGTATTTGATTGTCAATTTATGATCTTGATCACATGTTTATTAGCATTGGTTTGGTGAATCCAATCATCTTGTAGCTTGATTATGATGTATTTGCAAGTTCAATTACAGTTTTAAGATGCATAGGATTTAATCCATTGCAATTCGTGGTTGTTATTCATCATTTGCCATGGTGGTGTTTCTTTGTCAATGTATGATGTTTGGTCATAGGTTTGACGAAATATGTATGTCTTTATAGATACTAATATAGCTAAAATACTTTGTTGTGTTCAAAGGCCTTCGATTAGCAATCTATTTCACGTGGGTAGAGTAGCGGAGTTATTTTTTGCTCATATAGCACCAGCGCAATATGTATCCAATACCCTAACACCCGATAATTGGGAACGCCTTTGGAATCTATGTAGAGAATACCGATACGAAGGTGAAGGCGTCAAAAGGACCTCGTTCACAAACACTAATAATTCTTGTATTGATAGTCGGTTTGATAGTTATGTCGATATTATACTTTGTCTACATTATGGTTGCAAATATTTGGTTGTAATGAACCTAGTGAATCAACTTATGACATTTGTATTTGATGCAATTGTTATGTTAACTATTATAGGTATGTTATATCTTTAATACATATGAGTTTTTAATTGGGCCATAGGAACATGACACATGGCAATGTTAACTATTATGCCGTGTCATCCTACCATTTTTCATCATTTCTCGACCACCAAACAGACCATTAAATTAGATTTTGTGACCAAATGTGAAACTGATTACCGAATGAATTGGTTGTAAATCTTTGACCTACCTCTCCTCTATCACCTCTCCACTTTTTTTCCTTTTAGGTCTCTCTCTCTCTCACACACACATACGTAATGATACATAGACCTTTCTCTGAGAATCTCTTACTTTCCCCAAAGTTTCTCCCAACTTTTGCACAAAATCATAATAGATACAAAATTCTATGATTTAAATTTTAGAAAAAATTGATTTGAAGAAATGAATCTTCATAACCATCTGATTTTTAAGTGTAATAGAGAGAGATATTTATTGATGGATTGGATAAGAGCAATTGCCTATTGAGTGTTTGAATACTAGCAAGATTAAATGAAAATGGAGAGAAAGAGCGGGGGGGGGGGGATGGTAAAATTTAGCCTAAAAAACTGTTTAGGGCAAAGAAGATGGTTAGGACGGACAATAACAGTTTAGATGAGAGAAAGGGGTTTTGAGTGTGAAAGAAAAAAGTAAATAAATAAAGAGTATAATTTTGTTTCTTCAATTTTTTGACAAATTAGAAAGAGATAAATATCGAACAAATTTAGATTATTAAATTAATGTTGAAAAATAATGTTGAAATATAGATTATTAAATTAATAAATTTAGCAATAGTAACGTTTTAAAGTAATACCTAAATCTGTGAAGAGAAAAGTGAATCCGAAATTACTCCTCACAGCACATCCAGCTGTAGATTGGGATATTTCCTATGGGGATGGGCTACTCCATAAGTTTGGAGGGAGCGAAGGTAGGTGTGACAATTGGACTGGATTTGGTCTAATCCGATCCAGTCCAATGTGAGTCCATAAGTCCTTTACAATTGGACTATGTCCAATCCAATCCATTGAATACTTTAGATCATTTTGGATTGATCCAATTCAATGTTTGAACCTTTCAATCTGTTTAAGTTTGTTTTAATTTAAATTAGTTTGAACCCAAATCTGGTCTGTTGATTCCTATATTCTTATTTTTTTTATCAATGAGCCAGATATTGGCTCAATCCAACCCATTTCAATATAAATTCATTATGGATGGACCAGGTCCAATCCAATCCATAAATACTTTGGATCAATAAGTTGAAAAATATGAAATTGTTTAATGAACGAAATATTTTGTTTAGATGGAATCATGGAAATTGAAACCTGTTTCCATTCTTATACTCTTTCATGGGCTTAGTCACGGGACCATAATCCCCAAACCCCGGTAGCAGCAGGATTTGGTCCATGTCTCGGCTACAAGCTTGCCAGAGAAGGAAAGAAGCCACCTACTGACTCACAATCAGTTGGTTGTATGGTTTTCAAAATCGGATTGGATGGTCGGACCAGAAAAACCGAGAATTCGTCAGGTGACTGGTTTCGTTTTACTCTAGAACCGTTATTTCATCACAAATCATTGATTTAGTCAGCAAATTGCTGACCCGGTTGGTCGAACCATCTAATGGTTTGGCCGTTTTTTATCTTTTTTTGTCAGAATGAACCGTCTGTTTGACTCAAACGGTCAGGACCATTTGACCCGAAAACCGGACCCCTGACCGGTTCGATTTTAAAAACGTTGGTTGGTTGTCTGCCTGCTTAGTTTACGGGTATGAAGGGAATAAAAGAGATAAAAAAAGAAAAGTGCTAGTCATGGATGTTTCTTTTCTACGTACCCCTGCTGGGAGTTTGCCAGACAGGAAGGATCTTAATCAGACAACCATGTAGGATTAGAGATCTACCATAATCAGTGTCTTTACACGTGTTCATGTCAACGGTATTTGTGTCTTTAAAATTGAGTAATTTGGTAATCGGACTACTTATGGATGGATACATGTAAAAAAAGTAAAGATGAGAGTGTATATCTAATTTTACCGGTGAGAGTAGGATTAGGATTCTTCTCGCCAACGAATGTACCCTGAAATCCATGGTTACGTTTTCCTACAGCTCCAAATCTACAATGATCTTGAATTCAATTACAGTGAACTTAAAATTGCAAAATTTCTCCTTTCAAGACACATTTTGCTCTTCCAACTCCAACAAAGCTACACTATTGCTTCTATCGATCGATTAATATATTGTTCCATATCATAAATCAAAGATGAAAGTGTGGCCATGTTGATTGTTAACTTGCTCATACGTTTCTTTATGCTTTACACCATATAAACCTGGAAGGAGAAATCCATTGACCATTGTATGGCCACAATCAACTCTAAGTGAGCTCTTAAGATTATAGAGATCGAGAGAATTCATCATACTTTAAATTGAAAAAAAAAAGCCTCAAATTAAAAAAAAAAAACATATATTGTTTCTTTCTTTTTCATCTTGTAATACTCTCTTACCATCTCAGTAGTGTTTGGATATAAACTTCCGTCGGTATTGAATTTTTCGAGGCAAAAACATGAGAGAAAGCAATTGGTTCGGTTGGAAGCAAGATCGCCTGCAACCTCGACCATGGTAATTAATCAATAATATAACACTGTGACTCAGAACCTGGAATTGGGTACGAAGGAATAGATGAACTGAACTCCATTTAAGTCTTACCGCAACTATATATTTGGACTTAGCTGCATTTAGCTATCAGATCTTCAACTCTTCTTTTTCGTACTCCAGTCACGTTCTTTTTGGCCTTCTCGTTCGCTTTTGAAACCTTCAGCCTGCACCAAATCACTCTTTATGTCTGCAGTTTAACTGTCCACTCAACCTCTACATTCTCCAATATTTTCATAAACTTTGCACTAAGCATCACCAAGTCCAGCTACCACACAAGTTGGCCCAGTCTTCAGAAAAAGAAAGTACTAAAATGACAGAAATTAATAAAATGGTCCCTTTGAAATACACAACAAGGACTCCAAAACGCCAAGGAGTTATTTAGTTTTTCAGCTTTGTGAAGGATACTGCTAGCTCCTTGAAAAAGTGACGTGATGTTCTCAAATTAGGACGGGTCAACTAGAACTAGAATCGTCCAATATGTTTTTCTTTTCTTATCATCTACAGAATTTACCAGGACCAAGGAAAATCTTGAGAAGCTCAAAACTTATTATAAATATAGAGTAAAAAGTGGTAAGCAAGTATCAAGAGTATAGCTGTTATGGCTTGTTGGCCAAGTGAAATGGTCCTGTTTCTGTTTCCGTGGGGGCTTTGATGACTAATGGTTGGTGGTGAATAGAGAAAAGCCATTGATATAGGGTCCTCATCATCTTCTACTCTGAAAATTGGTCTTCCAACTACATGCCTGTATTGCCCACCACTCCATACCTGAAAAAAAAAAAGATCAAACACAAAAGGAATCAATCGCATACCATGAACTACTGTTTAATTATATCAGTCATGCATTATTCCTCCATAGTTTGAAGGAAATTTGTGAGAATGAGACTACCCAAGTATAAATTAATTTCTAAGCTTATGTTAAGTGTTGGAACTATTTGTTTTGTTTGCTTGTTCTTGATTTAGAGGGCCATCTCTTAGCATACCCTTCTGTCTATCTGTATCTGTGTGTATTAGGAACAATTCCCACAGTTTTTACATGGGTGCCTTATATTCTCACTTCACTACCCATCTAAGTGATGGCCCACCAAGTGATCCATGAGAAGCTAGTACTGGTCCATGAATGCACGCTCAAGGACCCACATCTCATAATCATCTCCTCAGGGTAATCAAGTTCAGAGAAGAAAAGAAAAAATCATCGTTAGTGCATGGGTCCCTTCTCTTTGAGCCAATTAGGAGGGTGACCCTACAAAAAGTATTTCTTTTCAGGCACATCACATGATGATGATAATGTTGTTGGTTTGTTCCAGATCAGAAATAGCTAAAGTTTACCTGTATTCGATCTCCAACTGTAACAACAATTGCATCTTTATTTGGGGAGAAGGACATCCAACCTTTCTTTGAGTAAACATGAAACTCTGAGGAGCCCTCGCATATATGCACACACAGGGCATGAGAGTAATCTGATCCTCTTATCAGCATTCGAATGACATCGGATTTCAAAGAGCTGATACACCGGGCAGCCGGAATATTCCGGCGATGCTTGTAGATACAGGTCATCGAGTCGCAGAATTCTTGTCCCTCTTCCTTTTCAGCTCTTCTAATGAGGGTGCTTTCCGAGAGCATATGTAGAAAAACCTTGTTTGCCACCTTCTCCACCTCCTTTGAGAGGTTCTTCATTTTCGCACTGAAATTTTAATAAAATGCTCGTAATTACAAAAACATCATTTTCTAAAATTATATTGACCATCATATCCTTTCACGTTGCACCCGCCAAAAGCAGTTGACACATAAGCTGCATCCGGCGTATGTTAGAAAATGCATGGAAGGAGAGAAATTAATTTACCTGAAATTTGAATATCCATCTGGCCAGATGCGCTCCATTACCGAATTCAAACCGTCGTCCATACACCAAACAAACTCTTCACTGGTATCCGCATCACTCTCCTCGCCGCCGGAAAACTCCTCGAATCCGTACAACTTTGCCGATGATCTCAACACAGTCGCTTTGTTCTCTGATGATATCCGGAAAAGTCCGTCAGCGGCGGCTGAAACGGATCGGATCAAGTCCGCCGATATTCCATGATTCACGATCTGAAAGCAACCGACTACAGTGGCCGGTTCTAGAACCTTTGAAATGGAATTCTTGTCTAGCAAGCTTATTGACTCGAAGTCGATTTCTGGCGGGTCTCCGATTGGGATCTGTCTAGGGAAGATCTGCTCGGGCAGGATGAGATCGGGAACACGAAGCGAGTGTTCGAGAAATTCGGTGATCTCGTCCTCGTTTACCACTGCCGGTCGACGAGCAATCGCATTGCCGATTGGGGAGGGTGGAGGAGCTCGGAAGTCCGGCTGGTTTGCTGGCAAAGCTCCCGGCGATGTTGGCATGGCAGGTGGGAGAAGGAGTAGAGAGAGAGAGAGAGAGAGAGAGGGATGGTTTGATGGCTTTGGAGGATGCTTTTAAGAAAAGAAAAGCGAAGGAGAAGCAATGATGGCATGCCTGGAACGTCCCCGACATTCCGAGGGTCATTACATCGTTCGCGCTTTTTTCTTCTTAATAAATTTTTGGGATAAGTATACTTTTATTAATTAAGCCCGTCGCCAAATTCAACAGTTTGTTTGCAGAAATTCTTTGAATTTGATTCTTCACCTGTTCCATGATTACAGCAAGCGTTAGAACTTTCCATCTCAAGTAATCCCGTTGGTATGAAAATCTGCATCATACAGATCTAGTTCGATTTATAAATTTATTATTATTATTCATGGGAGATGTTTTCAATACACTAGAATTTGGCTGTAAAATCGATGTAAAGAGCGCTCTGTGAGGAGCAGATACCAATTCTCGATTGATGGGTTATGTTGATCACGATCAACCAATCGATTCTATTGATAGGTCCTGTTGATCACAGTCCACTTTTCCGAATATTTTACGAGGACTAGTGTGTTGACTCGTTTGTATCAATTATCAAATCCTGCTCATCCAGTTCAATTGATTTGATGGGACGATTCCATTTTCATTTGGCTTAGGAGGACCTGGCTCAAGGTATCCAACTTTGCTTCAATTTGACTAGCTGGATTTGGATATACTAGCTGGTTTAGCTAACTAGGCCCAAAGAACAAAGATTGTCATCCTCCAAAAGAATGCCAAAGCCCCATATTAGGTTTGAATTTGATTTATGTTGAGCAGAAACTATTAAAGCACTTTTATGTAATAAATTAAGTTCGATTAACATTGACGACGATCGTCCGAACTGAAGCCCAAGCCCTAAACAGTGTAGTGTAAAATGTTCATTGGCCGACACCGAAGCCCGACCCAGTAACAGGTCCCCTGCTACATGACTCCGGATCTGTTCCTCACAGACCTCACAGCATATCTTAGTTGTACATCAAGAACATCTTCTATATTTGTATTTATTATTTATAAGGAGTATTCCCAATTTAAGGTGGGATTTGACTGTAAGGTCGATGTGAGACATATTCTGTAAGGAACAGATCTCAATTCCTGCTACATTATCACTAAGGGCTGATATAATCGGGCCATGCATATTGTTTTTTAAGCTTAATTTGAAAAAGAACACAAAATATAAATACATATAAAATACAAGGTTTTGCACTCTATATATTTATATTTATACTCCTCCTAAACTGTGCCAAAGAATACAAATATAAATATATACAATGAGAATACATACAAAATAAAATAAAATATAAGATTTTACACTCTACAGATATCACATATGTATTTATGCTCCTTCCAAACTAAGCCTTAAGAGCATAAATCCTATTTTAATGAACATGCCCCTGGCCATTGCCATTGGTCATAGCATATCTGATGTGATTCTTTTCACTTTATTTATTTTTTAATAAAAGAGAAGATATAATGGGGAGTGCCGGTGACAGTTTGGACTGTCGGCAGTGGGCCCATTCTCTAGGCCCAAGCCCAAGTATTTTTGAACACTAGAAATAGCTAAGCCTGAAATTATTGTTATGCAGCATCTCAAGCCAGAGCCCAAACCCAAAAGTCTAAATGACTATCGTAAGCCTACTGGTCTGTGGTCATAGCCTAAAATCTATTTGTCAATTTTTGTGCTATAAGAATGGCCTATGCACTTGCTTACTTGCTTATATATATATATATATGAAATATTAATGTTTATCTCCATCTATCTATCTATATATACAAAGAAAATAGAACAAGACTCCATGATATTTGATGGAGGATGATTTGATCCGACCTACTGAAATGATGACACGTGGATCTGACTCAGCACGAGCAACAGCTTAGCGGCCTGGCTTGACTGCGATCAAGTAACGAGTCTATAGAACAGCTCGCTACGCCATAGCTCTCTATAGGGGGAGCTCACTACAACGCGAATTCCAGATCCCTCGAGCTACTGAGAAGGAAATACTCTAAGATTATTTCAGCTCGCGAGCTAGGGAAACCAGCTCACTTAGCACCTGGGCAGAAGAACTGCCCCAAAGACCAACTTTGATGAGGGTCACCTCGAAGTACCCCTAAGAGCTTGCTACAAAGTAGCTCGCAGCAAGGATAGCCCGCTACGAAGTAACTTGCGACTATGATGCGACGTTCTCAAGAAGCTTCCATCTGACAACACCGTACTCGTCAGACTGTGCCACGTCTCTCGACTGACGGCGTAGTCCCTGCCCGATTGACAGTCTACCCCACGTCTCTCGGCAGATGGTGGTGTGCCTGTCCCTTCGGAGACGTGTCACTCAGTCGAGCAGACCGTACGTTGTAACGATCACCTGCGAAGCCCTGGCAAGTAACAGCTGCGACAGGAGCCTAGTGGCGGTTACGCCTGATTTGACAAGAACGCCCCTATAAAAGCCCTTAAAGCGGAGATACAGACTCTCTCTCAGAATTAGATCTGAACTTGCACTCTTACTTGCTCACGAGCTAATTTCAAGACATAGTGATCTAGCGTGATCCACACTCTTAGCCTTTTATACACTCTCTTCTTCCTTCCCAGCGTTCTAACTTAAGCTTCGGAGTATTCCCGCCGAGTAAATCCCCGGGAATCCTTCTTCTTCATCTTCTCATGTGCTGTTCGTTGCCAATAAAGAGCCACTAAGCAGCCAGATAGGAGTGCCTGGATCGTGCCGCATCAATATCTAAATTAGAAAACAAAAATTTTTATCTATATACTATATATGTCTAAGGAAGCATTGACAGTATTGTAAGAGTTCAGATTGGCTCCTCATAGAGAAGGCCCCGCATAAACCCCACATGCATATCTTGCGGTGTATTAGAAACATCTCCTGTATTTGTTTATCATGGGGAGATATTCCCCCCATACAAGGTTGAGATGTACTGTAGCCACGCTCTATGGGGAAGCCCATGCAAATTCGTATTCCAGATATGTTAAAAGATAGAGTGATTTTTATGGATATGTAATCTCGACACGCTCTATGGGGAAGCCCATGTATGTAATGTTGGTTACCTCTGATTTAGGATTCAATCCAACACGGTCTACCAATTTAAACGGTGAACTTGCACTCTACCTTTTCATTTCATCTGGAGCTTAAAAGTGTAAAAATTTGCGATCGACTTTGGGGCTGCTGTGGACCAACTCTCCGTCACCTGTTAGTTAGCCTTGGTCAGATATTTGGACTTGTGGCTATTTGGGTTTAAGGGGTTTCAGGTTCAGGATCTGTTGCACTTCTTCAACACATATTGAATCCAACAATATAGTATAATGGGGCTGCTCAAATTTGAAGAAGCTTTACTAATTGCATGCATGGACTCGAGATTTTGCTGTCAGTTCAACTTAATTATATTTTAATCCTTGTATTTGAACTGTACCATATTTGTATTTGCCCTCTTGTTTAATAGATCTATTATGAATTTAGGCTCAATTTGGAAGAAGTACGTATAGTGCAAAACTTTATATTTTGTATTATTGTATGCATTTGCGTTGTGCATATTTATATTTTGTATTTTTTTAAACTGAACCTAATACTACTGTTCCAATATTTTGTTCAAATTGGAAACTGTGCTGCAACTTGAGCAAATTAATGATTCAAAAAGTTGGGGCGTTATTCCTTATATAACTTGAGATGAGAGTCTGGCCTGCTTTTCCCTTTTTTTTTATTTTCTCAATCTCAGTCCGAACTGACGATCCAGGACCCAGAATGAAACGTTCAATTGAATTGGGGTAGGCCCATCAATCCTGAAGAACAGCCGACATGAAGAAATTAAAAAATAATTGGAGATTTGGATCGAATTGAGCCCAAAATGAAGTGGCTAAAAAGAAATTCCTATCCCAGATTGGTGGACGTATGATGAATTACTATTATCAATGCCATCCTACTCCCATGAGTCCATGAATACTGCGTGAAAACTTGACCGATCGAGGTTGGTTCTTTCAATAGAAGTTTGTCTGTCACGTTCTGTACAGCCTCTGCTGTTCACATACATGACACTTTTAGTCCATATCCAACTATATACATCAGTAAGACAGTAACAGTAACAGTAACAGTGCAGGAGGCATGGCTGTATGAACTAATATGTTATATGAAGAGAGCCTATCCACACCACAAGCTGTTGCAAGTGGACAGTCAAAGTTCTCTATACCCATGAGGACCATTTCGATATTCAGAAGGCAGTTTCTATGATGTCAGAAGGGTATGACAAGGATCAAAGTATTGATACATTTTGATGCGGCAGGCAGAAGGGACGTATCGATGCTTTGTACCATGCATTTTTATTTATTTATGTAGGGTTGAGGGATAGGTTTAAGCACATTTTAACATATAATGTAAAAAAAAAAAATTGGGAATTAACCTTAAAAAAATTGTATATTAACACCTTGCTGAATACAATATGATATGCTCGATATGGGGAATATCGTGTTGATACTTTAAAACTTGAGGTATATATGATATTGAAAATAGAACTTTATTGTGATGATGTGGCAAAAATTTTAGGACTTATACCTTGGCTTATTATTTTCTTTCTTTAGACAAATAATAGTCCATTCGTCATACCATAAAAGCTCCCAACCCTGATAAAGACAGATCCCAGGTCTCTGCAGCTAGACTGCTACAGTTAATATTAGCACCAGTCGAGATGGAGACTTCGGAGACTTCATCTGTGAGAAGATGAGTTTGAGTGAATGATCTCTTCATATGCTGATCAGGAAAAGGCTGTAATGAATTGACTCCCGATTCCGAAACTTTAGAATAAATGAGGTTGAATGTTGAAGTCTAAGATTCTATTAGAATATGGGAGATTTTGGTTGGGTTGATGTAGCGTCATAAGGGTGGTTGATACTTGATACATACATTCTTCCATGTTATGTGTAAAGAGGCGGCAATTTTGACCCAACCCACAGTGAGCGGTTATGGGTGTTTTGATTTGGTGGGGATTAGGTTCTAATTATCCATTGGGCTCAATTCCATAATTCCATTCCTCTCTCTCTCTCTCTGCAAGCTGGATTGCTGGATTGAGTTAGAGTGGAGGTGAATTGGGCCATATGGCCCAAACCCATTTGGATGCAGGATGTATGTAAATGGATGTAAAGTGGGTTGATGAATTATATGGGTGGGTTTGGGTTATAATTAATTCAACTTACACCTCAACGATCAAATTGGAAGCACCACCAGTAGAAACTAGAAACCCTGTCCCCACTGCATGAGTGAATAGTACTATTAAGAATAGAAAGAAGCTCTGTAGATAATGTTCAAATCAGATGGTATTACTTTTGAGCTGAGGTTTTAAATTATTAGTAATAAGAGGGAGTGACAGATAAACAATTCCAAAATATTTTGGGACACTCTTTAGTTATAGTAGAATGATCAACATCCAAAGAAAGAATGCCAACAAGTATCAACGAAGTAGCTCATAAAAATGCACATGTTTGTCACATACAAAACATTTTCAGGTGGTTTATTGAGCAACGATTTATCCACGATCTTATTGTATCTCACTATCCATCCTCTAATATAATTGATGCTTTGGTTTATGTTAAAAAAAAAAAAAACATCAGTAACATTAAATTTGAGGCTCAAATTATAAATACATAAGAAGAGAGTTGGATCTCTTGCCAACAAAAACATGTTCCAACATTCTATCAACATGATTCGATATTGCACATTTCACCATGAGATTGGGATTAGATCACTTGATCGGCTGGGTAGTTTGACAGGCAGGCTGAGCTTGGCCCATTCTAAATCGGGCTTGGACAAAGTTTTAAGCCTAACGGACTTGGGCTCAGGTTCTAAACATCAGGCCCAACTAATTTTTTGGCTTTTTCAAACCCTATATATATATAATAACAAAATTAATAGTGAAAAAGTATGATATATATTATAATATATAGAACGTTATATAATATATAATATATTATTAATAATATAATTAAGGGTAAAATACAAAAACCTCCCTTGTAGTTTTTGACAATCATAAAATCCTATCCTCTACTTTCATTTTAATAAATACCTCTCCTAAACTTTTAAAAAATTCAACAAAAATCTCCCTTCGATCACCTTCTCATATGGAAAACCTACATCTAGCACAAAATCAGCTAGATTGACGAGAATAACCCCCGACATGTAACCGATAGAACTGAAATATTCGAGTGCCTGAGACGCGCTGCCGCTGTATATCGGGTACCCATCCGATAACACCACCAGCTTATCGAAAGTCCGATACTTGCGAGCCACTGCAATGTCCAAGAGGCGCAACAGGGGAGGCTTCTGTTACGGAAGAATGGTACTGGCCTCCTGTTGTATATCGGGCACCTATCGTCATATATCAAGCACCTTTTGATAAATACAAGCGCAACAGGGGAGGCCTGTTTTGATAAATACAAGAGGCCTCTTGCAAGCCCCTGTTGCGGAAGAACGGTACTAGCCTCCCACTATATATCAGGCACCTACCGTCGTCACCACCGTTCTTCCGCCTCTTGCGAGCCCTTGCAATGTTGCCACGATACACTAAGCGGTGGTGGAGTTAAGCCCCGACATGGGTTCATCCTGCAACAACAGACTCGGTTTCATCAACATCTCTTGCCCGATACTGACCCGCTTGTAGGTGATGCTGTCAGAGAACTTCCCCGGCGTAGGTTAGCGTCTCTAGCACGGTGAGGTGGGGATACAGTACGTCATCTTGTGGCACAAATCCGATCTTGAGCTTTATGGATCCGGAGAAGGTCTGCCCATTGTAGGTGATGTTGTCGGAGAACTTTCCCGGAAGTCTGCCTGACAAGGCCGTCAAGAGCGTCTGCTGGATGGGCCGAGCATTGCTAGGAGGTCGCCCGGTTAGACAACCCCAGTAATGCCATTGAGTATGGTCCGTTCAGCAGGCTTGGGTTCCAGTGCAGAAAACCAAAATCCGCCGGACTTCTTCAGCTTTATACTGTAACTCACATCTTCAAACTGCAAAGAACGGATGCATGTACGATGAAATTAAAATTCAAAGATCCATATTTAACTTGAGAGCATGAAGAGCATAAGCTTCATCTGATTACCTTGAGTGTGATAGGGCGCAACGACCCACGTAGTAGTGAGCATTGGCCGCCTATGGCTGTCTGCAGCTGCTCAAGCATCTGATCCTCCAAAGACGGGCTGACGTTATTGGACAAAGCAGGCAGCTCAGAGTGTGGCATTTCCATGATATTGTCCAAGCTGCGGTTCACCGTAGGGACATTATTGTTAGACGAATTAGTACTGATTCCAAGCTCTTGCTTAAGGGGATGCATCATCTTGTAGTAGTCTAGAGAGAAGGTGACCGAGAAAACAGATTAAATGGGTTTGGAAGACAAAGATGAAGTAAGGTTCCAACCCTTTATATATGCAGACAGACGGAGAGAGAGAAAGACATTTCAGAGGTCGTGGACTTTTTAGTAGGTAGGAGGCCAAGCGTCTTTTTTATTGTGAAAAAAGGAAGATTTAACACAAAAAAAGTAAAAACACTAAAAAAACTAATCGGGTTAGCACATGACCCGTCTGACAGTTCGGGTGAAGAAGACGACCTACGTGGGTCAATGAGACCTGTTTTCGAAAAGCCTGAATACGAAATGATGGGTCCAGCCGATCAGGTCCCTAAAAGGGTAGAATGGGTATTTAGAAGAAGTTGCTACATCAGTTTAACATTTTTCATCTGAGAAGATGATGGAAGGGAGGTTTTTGTTGAATTTTTCAAAAGTTGAAGGGAGATATTTATTAAAATGAAACTAGATGAAGGGTTTTTATGATTGTCAAAAAATTCAAAGAGGTTTTTGTATTTTACCCTATAATTAATATAATATAAACTATTTGTTCAAATGGGCTTTAGGCTTTATACAGGACCGGGCTCGAGCTCAGGCCTAGTAGAGGCAAACCTCGGCCTAGCCTGGCCCATGGACAGGTCTGATTAGAGAGAGAGAGAGAATATAAAGAAAGGTGACTTAAAAGGTTAAAATTTAAGAGTTGAATAATTAAAATATGTCAAGTAAGCTATTTGGGTTCTAATCCTTGGAACTAAATAATTAAAATCTTCAAACATAAGTTTATAATAGGAGTTAATAAATAAGATTCAAATTTGATACAGAGGTATCTACTGTATGATTTAAATAAGATGCTAAAAATTAGAGCTTTTAACTCTCACCATTTATTGCTGCATTTGCTATCCACAGGAATAGCGTTTTTTTCAGGCTGCACAAACAGACTGAGAAGCAATTGGTGAAGAAGAGAAGAAGAGATGGCAGTGCATAGTTGACTTAGTTGCCTAGGCGAGTGACAATTTTGGTTAGAAATCTTGCAACATTTGCGAAAAAGGCTGAATTTGGAAAGAATATAAATGCAAATAGGTAGAGTGCAGAACCTTATATTTTGTATGTATTTTACATTGTATTCTTTTCAAAGTGAGCCGAAGTAGGTAATGAGCTATGTATATATAATGCCAATACAACAGATGTAAGGAACGTGGCTGACTAATGGCATTGGATTTTCTTTCTTCACATTCATCTTGTGTGAGCACTTAAATTAGATGAGATGGGGTAATTAATATACTACTTTCATAAGTTAGGAGTTTGGGCAGTTTCTTTTGGTGAAGTCACAAATCCCAAACGTTTTGGAATTTAGTTATAAAAAGCACCATCATGTATGGACTGTGAACTCTTCTTATAACTTATCCACCTCTTTGGCTGGAACCTTTCCTACTTTCCTAGCTCTTGTTTCTTCGCATTAATATATATATATTTTCTTTTTTTGTTTTGAGCGAACTGTTATAACTTTGATCATCACAAGTTAGGTTTTGGCTTATGTTGGAAGAGGAATGGAGCAACTAACAAGTAACAAGCCCCTAATAACGACTTAGACACACATAAATGCATTTTCATATGTTACGCCCCGTAGACGGGTCAAAATTGCGGGGTTGTTGGTGGTAGGTCAGTTTTGAAAACCAATGACTCGGTATGACCCAATTTGTGTCAACTCAATCACTCTGCTCTTGTTGTCGGTCAATTAATTTGCATTAATCAATTTAATTGAAATGACAAGCAATCCATTTACAAATATATATATATATATGCGTTTGGAGAGAACTAAATTAAGATTAGAGTCAAATTTGACAAAGTAGATCCATCTTAATGTGAGTCCGGGTCTGCTACCCACACCACATCTACAAGGTACTTCATGGGGAACTAAATGTGTTGTGGGTAGGGTATGCGCATCCTCCTGTAAGTAGCATATTTGAATTCATAAAGTTTACTCCAAATAGAAAGATGGTTACCTTAATAAGCATTTTATTAATCATCCAACATCAAAAGAAAAATAACATCCAAACAAGGTTCATACAACCTTTCCCACTAAACCGTGCCCAAAATTATTACCAAAAATAAATAAATAAATAAATAATCGAGAAACGAAGAAACACAACAACATTAATCAGTATGGAGCATAGGGAGTCTCATATAATCACACAACTTCCCATGGTAGGTCATGAAAGCAGTTGAGAAATTGGAATCTCTGATCGGAGAAGGCTAACCAATTTGCACATCTATTCCCTTTGTGAAGTGTATTTGCCGATGTGTATGTATATGATTTTGGATTTTGGAAACAACAATAATTGCTAAATCAACAAAATAAGTTTAACTATTGAGTTGATCTATTGAATCAAGTGAACTGAACCAAATTTTAGGTTAGACTCATTGAGCTTTAAAACTATGATATGCATTAGTTCAAGTGTGAGCAAATTTATCTTATGAGTTATGACCATGATGATAGCATAAACACCTTTAGATGGTATTTGGATATTTTTTTTTTACTCCTTGTTGTTGAGTTGTTTTACTTTTGCCTCAATTAGCTAGTAAGACGTCACTAGAAGAACGTATCTACAATATTCCTAGTAGAAACCTGTTACCCCCAACTATGGTAACATCAAATATTATTTCCATGATCGATCACCCATCACATGGAGACAAGGGGATTTGTTGCATTTGTGTTTTTTTTTTTTTTTTTTGTATATAGAAGCATTTCCAAACAGTGCTTATGTGGCAAGTTAAAAGAAATACAGTGGCAACACCTTCATATTCTGTCACCAATGAATGCATTGGTTGGGCTCATAAACAGTAAATAAATGATCAGATAGATCATCACTTTGTTATGATATTAGACCATCACTTATTTTTTGAAGGGATAGACACTGGGATCACCTTCTGATATGAAATGCATGTGTGTTGTTAAAGAAAACCCATTATATATATATATATATATATATAATGGGTTCGACTATGATATAAAAAAGATATGATATCTTAAAATTTTTTAACCAATCAAATGATATCATAAAAGTGATAATCAATCAAGTGTTATTTATCAAAATTCATGGGTGGAATTTGATTGGTCAAAACCCTTCGGATACCATGTCTTTCCGGCATTATAGATTTTCCTCTCTCTCTATATATATTCTAGAGATATTCTCAATGGGAGGTATTATCAACCAATGGAGCATTGTTTTAAATTTTATTAAAAGAAATCAAATTGTATTAATGAAATCTGCATTAATTTTTGAAACGTAAAAAGAGTCTTTTTAACTTTGGCAAGCAACAAGTTGTAAGAAAACACTCACTTAACCATGAATCTCATCAAGAGTTGTTGAAGACATTTATTTATAAAGTTATTAATTTAAAAAAAATAAAATATATGTAGATAATATAGAGCTATTATTTTAACATAATCCTAGCCTCCCTACTAATTATAAGAAAAAGAAAAAAAAAAAAAACTCATACGCATGACTTTAAATTGACGTAAGTTGTGAGATCAAACAAACGAAGTAGAAGATAAATCAAATAAACAATTCAGATTTCAGTTAAGACAATTAATCAATCACCTACGAGCCCAGATTTTCTACTCACTTTTTCTATTCATTCTATACCCACGGTGAATTGTAGTCATACATCTTTAAATTTATAATAGAAATGTGTGACAGCAATTCAGCTCGAAGACCCCATTAAACAAAATCAGCGGTGTACATGTTGATTGATGATGATCGATGACCGGCCATAGTTGACCAATGATGGTTTTCTGACTTATTCATCATCTGTATGAACGGGACACGTCGATTTTTTTCCTGGACATTTTGAGTTGACGAATCTGGTCCGTTCTATCTGGGCGGCTAGGCCCTGGGCCTGGGCTCTGCTCTGACTGTGGGCTCCATTTCATTAGGATTTAGGGGTATAGGTCCCAACAAGCAACTATCACTTTTTTTTTATTTTTTTCCGGTGTTGTGGTCTACATTAATAAAGTGGGGAAACCTTTTTCTATACAAGACATGATGGAATTGACAAATATGATCTTATCTGGCTGTTAGTATTTTTGATCTCCCAGTGGGACCGGTCCGGGTAAAGAACAAAAGACTAAAGAAAGTTTTAAGTTGACTGTATTTGTGGTGGAGTGGAGCCTCGAGACTTGTGGGAAATTTGGGGTAAAGTGAAACAGCGGCCAACAGGACGATCAGGATCTATCATCTATGGTCTTTGGAGGCTGCGCGACTTCTCATTTTAGAGTATTAGACTATTAGTTGGGGTATTTATATAATCATTTATATCTATATTATTTTAAAAAGGAACGGTCTCAAGAATATTTTTGGAATTTTTTAAGGATAATATTTATCTCTTTATATTTAAATTTAATAATAAAAAAATAAGGGCAAATAGGATAATTTGTTCTTGATATTAAATAAGTTGAAAAAAGGTAATTTAAAGATATTCAATGCATTAAATCCTATCTCGTTAAATCAAATATTTAAGTTATTAACTTGCATTCATGTTCATTGAATCATATATTTAACTCATTTTTATTTCTTCTCATTATTAAGTTTTATTAATTAAATTTATACTTAATAAATTAATAATTTCAATAACATAAAAGCTTATACCTTTAAAATCTATCAATCAAAAATAGTGTTTTCATCTAAGTGGTGGTAAGAAATTAAATCATTTTGGGTCAAATGGGTTAATCCATGTTGCCACGATTAAATAATAAAATTAAAAAATAGATAAAATGAAAAAAATAGAAATTAAAAAAATAGAAATTAAAAAAATTGGGAACATATTTAACATATATATAAAACAATAATAAGTATGTTAAATAAGAAATGCTTTTGTTAATGATGAAAATGGAATGTAAAATTTAAATACAAAATATTAATTTTAATAGTATAAAAATAAATATTTTGAAAAATAATTTGAAAACAAAACCATTTTCTTCCCTCCCAATGGTGGGCAAGCAATTTGACCATTTGGGGTCAAATAGATTAATAAATAATGTCATAATTAAATAATAAAAAAATAAC